GTTGAGTGTTTAGCACCTTTGAACAGAGATATTCAGAGTGCGGACACGTGACAGTCCAGGTTCCGACTGCCCAAGAACGACCCGTGATTGAGGGTGTGCTGATCACAGGACAGTGCGGTCACTTGGGTTTTTCTCTGCATGTTGAGAGTGCCACAGAAAACAAAGGGCAGGAAAGCTGTTCATTGAATTCATGGCTGGTGGCTAGAAGATCGGAGAAATGTTGAGACAGAGGAGAAAGAGCCTGGGGGGGTGAGGTGGTCAGTCAGATGGACAGTCCGAAGGCGCTGACGATGCAGTACATGGTCTTATTCTCCCATCGCACGGTGCAGCTCCCGTCAGTAGAGCTGTCCCAGAAGCAAGACCTCGCCGTGTGTAGTCCTGCTCCGTTCTTCTGCATAATTATACAGGTCACAATGTATTTGAATGGTTTTCCCAGCTTGGTGAGTTGGCTTAAAGTTTGTTCTACGACATTTGTGGTCCACTGGTTGACTTTGCTGTGCTGATGGCGTTGCCGCCGATGGCACTTTCTATAGCCTCTTTCACAATGTTGCTCACTTCGTCAACAACAAAAGTGGTCTCTTCCGCAGTCTGGTAGTCTTCCATCTTCCCCGGCGCGTCGCCTCCGCCGCCCCGAGGAGAGCGCACTCTCAAATTTAATTCTTAATGCAAATTGAGACTAAAATGAAATTGATTGGGATGTTAAAAATAATGAATTCTCTTTGTTCATAAGCTTTCAGTCTTTGGGTTCAATCAGAAAGAAAGTAAAATTAAAGATTATATGAATTGCTAGAAGTAAACCCAAAATGAAGGCGAGATGTGTTATAGATTTTACCTATATATGTATACATCTCCGAGAATAGAATCCTGCTTATGTAAGTTAATTTTCCAACTCAGGTTTAAAAAAAATTTTGAAAACAGAAATGTACATAAATAAGAGATTACCTTTAAACTCTCTAATGCTACTCAGGTAGCTTTTGGTGGAGCCAGAATTTGACATCAGCTCTTTTCTCTCCCCCTGGCCTAGGATGCTAATGTGATAGGCCCTTGAAAATGTCTTGTTGCAGTCCCAAGGCACCATTTTGCACTGCATTTCTTTCTTAGTTAACATGAGGTCATGCATGCATTTCCAGAACTGGCTCAGTCTGCTCTTCACGACCTACCGTCTCGTCTCTCTTTATGAAGTATTCCATCTTTGTCCATCGACCGCTGTTTGTTTAGCCATTCCCCTATTGTTAGCCATTTGGGTTCTTTCCAATCGCTAATTATTATAAATGGGCTTTGAAAACTAGTAAGTGCGAGACAGTCGTAAGGCTCCCTCATCATTCTTTTGTTATCACACTCCCAGGATGCAGGCGTTTTATGTCTTCCTGACCTTCTTTTTCCTAATGGCATTGTTATCAAAGCACCGGCGATCTGAAAACATAAGCCTTATTAAATCATCCACGGCGGTGCAATCAGTTTTATTTTTTCTTCAAGGATGATAGTGAAGCCCCCCAAATTCTAGGTCTGCATCTGCAATTCTTCACAAGGTTGTTAATCAAATGCCACATTTTTTCTTCTAAGTTTTGTTTTGGTTCACTTTCAAGTAAATTCATTTTGGTTCCCCTAAGCCCATGGTCAGCAAACTGCGGCTCGCGAGCCACATGCGGCTCTTTGGCCCCTTGAGTGTGGCTCTTCCTAAGCCTTAGGAGTACCCTAATTAAGTTAATAACAATGTATCAACCTATATAGTTTAAGTTAAAAATTTGGCTCTCAAAAGAAATTTCAATCGTTGTACTGTTGATATTTGGCTCTGTTGACTAATGAGTTTGCTGACCATTGCAAGCCATCCATAATTTTATTTTTAAGTTAAGAAGCCAGGAAAAATATAAACAAAATGGTTTAATGTTCTAAATTAACTGTCTAGAAAACACAAATACAAAAATACATATATTAAACATAAAGTTTACTTTCAAAGATGTCTCATTCTGCAGAACACATTTATTATACAAACGCTGGGAAATATAAAAAAGGAGATAGAAGGAAGGAAAAGGTCATAATTCCACTTTTTCAGAGATCCCACTATGAGAAGCTTGGTGTATTTCCTTCTATGCAGAATTTCTTTCTTTACATAATTATTTTGAAAAGTATTAAATGTTTAATTCACTTGAGAATAGTTTTAGGTTGTATGAAAGGTAAAAACAAAAAACATCACTGGTTAGAGTTCAGACTCCTCAGGTGGAATAATTTCTTAGGGCTGATCCTGTCTTGACCTCATTTTACCTGGGTGACTTTGGGCAAATCCTATGAACCTGCATTCTCAAAATTGGGAAGGTTGTTAAAATCGGCATTTCTGCGTTGCACACCAGGCTTATTGAATCAGAAAGAGAAGTGAGAACTACTGCCTGAACCTCCTTGGGAGTCTTCCTCTTATGCCAGTAGAAGTGGGACGGGTTTGGGCGGTCTAGGGCAGGCGTTCCTACCAGAGAGTACCCCTGGGTGGGGAAGAGAAATTCAAGAACCTGAGAATCCTGGAAACTTGTTCGCAAGTTTGTGTCACTTCACATGGATCCATTTTTGTGGAATGTCTACAGTTTGAACATGCTACAGATTTATCAAAGAGCTTCCTACCCAGAGAGGTGCCTGAGCCTTCACTGATCTAAGATCCTTTCCCCAAATCTCTCTGTAATGATTGTGAGAAGTGCCATGATGTCCCCTATGAACATCCACCTTCTTCCCCCCTGGCCAGCAAAGATATGAGACTTTCTGTCCACCTTTTCACAAGTTGTATAGCCTCAAGTAAGTTGCGTAACCCCTTTCCTTAGCTTAATTTCCCTCTTGAAAATATTAATATAGTACCATTAATATTTTATTCTGCACCTACCTACTATTTGCCAGGCTCTGTGCTAAGCACTTTTAAGAGATGATCTCATTGCAATCCACTTGACAAACCTATGAAAGAGGCACTATTATTATCTTTTTTATAAATGAGTAAACAGGCACAGAGAGGTCAAGTAACTTGTCCATGATCACACAGCTAGTAGATGAAGAAGTTGCCATTCAAAACCATGTTGGCTGCCTCGAAAGCCTATGCTAATAATAATAAGTGCTATTAGTAATAATATTATTTCTAATATGACTACCACTGGTAATTAATAATACTAATTATTATTAATAGCACTAATAATATTATTACTGAAAGTACTACTTGCAGCACAAGATAATGGAATTGAAAGCATGCACTAGCTGGTAATTATAACCAAAGGAGTAACTTGACTTCTGGAAGCCTCCATTCAACTGGGGATAAAAAATGGCATCTGCCTTGTAGGGCTGATGAGAGAGTGAAATGAACGAATGCTTACAGCATTAGCCTGCACCTGATAGATTTAAAAATATTTTTATTTTTATTTAAAATATGTATTGTGTTAAAATACATATAATACAAAATTGGCCATTTTAACCATTTTCAAATGTCCAGTTTAGTGGCATTCCTCACATTCATATTGTTGCCCATTTGCTGAATAGATTTTACTTTGTTTTTGTTTTCTAGACTATGCAGAGTGCTCAGCACAAAACCTGGGCACATTGCAAATATTGAAGAAGACCTTTCAGCTTTTCCCCTCTTGCCACTCATGCCCCTCCCTTCCCACAGCCTTCGAAAGCTCCATAATGCTGCAGAGGTTTTGGTTACTATTTTGTGTAGCGTGGGAAGCAGAATGATGGGGCACCCTATCTGGGACACATGGCTTTACCTTCTATGCCTCAGTTTCCTCATCTGTAAAATAGGGATTAGAGCAACATCTACTTAATAAGGTTGTGGTAGAGGATATAACCGTGTGAAACTCTCAGAATAGCTTTAGCCCCATTCAACTCTCAGTAAATTCTAGAGACAGCTTCAGCTATTGTTGTTGTTTCTGGGAAGGGCACACCTCATGGGTGCACGGGAGCTGGAGGCTGGCTCTGGCTCAGGTGGCTGCTTGCCCTTGTCCTTCCCCACACCCTGACCGTGAGCGCTCAGGACAAACAGAACCATGGAGGAGGAGAAGTGAGTCCTTTAGGAACCCACAGAGCTCTTTGTTCCATAAAAAGCTTCGACTCAGGCTGCTGTAGCGGCCTTGGTATTTTTGTGTCTCCTTAGCTTCTATTTCGAGAGCAGATTGGCGTGGGAATGTTTTCCTTTACATCAAGCCTCAAGTAGTTGTTGGGTAACAGCTGTTCTTATAGATAATCTTTGAGGCATTGAGATGCTGCTGAGAAACACATTTCTGGAAGTCAAAACAGCTCCCTTATTTTATTTGACCGATTCTATTTTTCTCCATGCCGTCACTCATGCTGTCACTTCTAGAATTCTCTTTTCTACCCCTGCTGCTGCCCTCATTGACTTGCTGTTATTTTCCTCTCGGAGCTTTCTCAGGTTCTCCCTGGGCTTGTGTTGTACTCTGACTTGAGTGTTGGTTAGTTCTAAAGAAGTCTCTCCCTCCTGGATGTCAGGTTCTGGAAGGTTCTAGGTCCCTTTCAATTCACAACCATTTCCTCAATGTCATAAAGTAGAAGACTATAGTGAACCTTTCTTTTTGTCCACTCAACATCCAAACACCTTACTTGTTTCGGGGTGAGGGGTCCTAAATAGGTAGGGGGAAGGGTCCCAACTCTCACACAGAAGCCAGATGAGATGAGATGTTGGCAAGAGTTAGCATTGCTCATTTCTGCCCAAGTCTGATTCTCCAGCCTCTTTGTTTTTCTGCTTTGTAAACTGCCAGACTCTCTGGACATTTCCTTTTCTATTTAAGTGGACTAATCCTGTTTTCTGTATTTGCAACCAATAATTCTTACTATTATAGCGTCATAAACATACTGGGAACTTCAGAGATGTTTATACATTTCAGTTTTCTAAAATCCTATGTAATCATTATCTATTGTTTATGTCTCCCCAACATTTTGGTCCCCCTTGGGGTATTAGAAGTCTGAATTCCTTTTTCCTAACCACCCAGTTTCCTTTTTGGTCCATGTGTTTCCAACAGAGTTGACTCCAGTCAGGGCTGCCTGGTGGGCATGTCTGGCCAAAACACTGCATCCCTCTGGCCACGGTGATTGTTTCAACGTTCAGTGATGTGACTTCATCCAGGCCCATGAGATTCAGCCCCAGGGCTTCTGCTGGAACTATTGGGAAAGAGAGGTTCCCCCACCCCTGGGGGCTACTAAGCTCATACCATGTAAGACCGGAGTCCCCAGGGACACCATGAGGGTGAGCCAACCTGAAAGGTTGTGGACATGAACTAATACAGAAGAAAGCAAAGTGGAGAGAAGAGGAAATAGAAATTCCTGATGATATTGCTTGAGGCCCTGGATTGAATTATGCCTGATTGTAATAATAATACCTGGCATGTATGAAATACTATGCACTAAGCATGAGTGCAAGCATTTCACATGTTGTATTGGTTTCCTAGAGCTGCCAAAACAAAGTTCTACAAGCTAGGCAGTTTAAAACAAATAGAAATGTAAAAAATGTATTGCCTTATAGTTCTGGAGGCTAAAAGTTCAAATTCAAGACGTTGGCAGGGCCATGCTCCCTATTCTAAACTGAACTGTGTCCCCTCCATACCTCCCTCAAATTTGTGTGTTGAAGCCTCAGCCCCCAGTGTTGACTGTATTTGGAAGTAATTTAGTTGAATAAGGTCATAGGGTTGGGTCCTGATTTGATAGAATTAGTAACCTTATAAGAAGATACACAAGAGACCTCATTCTTTCTCGCCACCATGTGAGGACACAATGAGAAGGTGGTCATCTGCAAGCCAGGAAGAGAAAGTTCACCAGAAACCAACCCTATCTGACTTTGATTTGGAACTTCTAGCCTCCAGAACTGTGAGAAAACTAATTTCCATTGTTTTAGCCAATCAGTTTATGGTATTTTCTTACAATAGCTCAAGCAAACTAATACACTCCCTCTGAAACTGTAGGGAAGAATCTTTCCTTGCCTCTTACAACTTTGGTAGTCCTAGATCTCCTTGGTTTGAAGCTGTAGCATTTCAATCTCTCCCTCCATCATCACATGGCATCTTTGTGTCTGTGTCTCTGTATCTCTCACCTCTTATTATAAGGACAGCAGTCATGTTCAATTAAAGGCAACTCTACTCCAGTATGATCTCACCTGAACTAATTACATTTGCAAAGATCCTATTTCCAAATAAAGAAATTGGTGGCACGGGGGGTTAGGACTTGAACATCTTTTGGGGGGCATAATTGAACCCATAATACATGCATTAACCCACTCAAACCCATGATTATTATCATCACACTCAGGGGAAGCAAAGCCCAGAGAACTTAACTAACATGCTTACAGTGAGTAAGGATTTGAGCAGGGATCTGGGCTCAGGTGATGTGGTGACAAAGCCTGCAGGTTTAGCCACAGCAAAAACCTGACTGAACTTAGAGATCAAATTCAATCAATTCTCTAATTTGCTTAGGCCAGTTTGAGCTGGGTTTCTGTCCCTTGTAATGGTTCATCCCCCTACCATTTGCCTTCTTCTTTCCTGTATCTGACTGACAGCTTGGCCTCAGGACTTCACTCAGATCTGCCCCTTGGGGTGTACCCCAGGTACTAGAATTACTGCTTCCTCTTCCTTCCCCACCCATCCTCCCCATCAATACTGTTTGTGCATCAGATGCTAGCTCTCAGCTGGGTTAGGAGGAAGCCACAGGAAGTAAATCAATACAGAGTGAGATGTGATTTATAGATTGTGATTTTCCTAGGGGTTTTAGCTTTTAAAAGCAGGCCATTAACCTGTTTACTGTCTGGAAGAAGTTGAGATAGTAAGGTAAGGAGGTCTTCAGGCGAAATGGAGAACTTTAGGGGAAGGTATCCTCTGCATTTCTTTAATTCCAAACAGATGATGTGTGGAAGTTCAGTGTGTGAGTCTCCCTATTGGGATTAATTATAACATCTTCTGGATGTAGCAATCTTGTATTTATAAAGTAGTGTAACAGCCTTGTGTTTATAAAGATTGCTGCTTCAGTTGTTTTAGTTGATTCAAGATTTTGTCTTTTTTCCCCCCACTAAAATCTCTTTCCCTTGAAATGTTCTTTGCCCCATGTCAAACTTTTAAAACTTACCTATAACTCAAATACCTTATACATAGAGGGTTTTAGCTGACTCCTTTCAGAATAAGTTTCTTCCTAAATAGCGTCATTCATTACAGTAATCAGCATTGAAAAGCAACAACACACCAGAGTTAGATGTTTTTCTATTTTTCTCCTGAAAAATCTCAGCTCCTAGAGATAGGGGGTGAGTCAGAATCTTACTCCTTCTTAACTTCTTAATCTTCTTAACTGAAGGTGGTCTGACACATTAGTTAAGGGCCCCAGCTTCAGAGTCAGAAAGAATTGGTTTGGAATTTCCACTGTGATGGTTATTCTTTCTAGGGCCATAAGAAGATGAACTTACACAGCATTCGTAGTTATAATGTGGACATTACCCCATGTTGTAAAGCTGTTGTAAGAATTAAATGACATATTGACTGTAAAGCTTTTAATTCAAGTTCAGTACATAAGGTTCAAAGAAGGCTATAAGTTTCTTATTTTTATAATGATCTCTCAGCAGAAGAGAGTACCTTGCATGTAGATTAGTGCTTAAGCAAATGTGTGGATTTTAATAGTTAGAATGCAATATTTCCAGGCCAATCTGAACACTGAATTTCTAGGTAACTGTGCCCTGAAGAGGAGGGTTATATTAAATTCAATTTTCATGAATAAACCTTTATTTCCCAGTGGTACTGTGAGTTAAGGCATAGTCATCTAAGTGGGCTTAATACTAGCAGCAGGGCTGATAATGGATGGCTATCTCGGATCAACTAAAATTCCTTGCTCACTGGAATTGCTAATTACAACTTGAAATTTAGGGAGATGTTTACTCCCTTCTCTGTTCATGGGGAAGCAGCTCCTTTTCTGTCCTGTTTGTTTGGATTCATTAAATTAGAGATGAGTGGGAAGTCCCAGCAGGGACACTGGGAAAGCTTATTTCATGGGATTATAAACATTTTATGAGAAGTCAGGAAGAATGGGAACTTTGGGTGGACTCCTCCAAACAGGGATGGAGAGTTTCCCATTCTGGCTTGGGTAGGTCACCAGCGTGGAAGCACAGGGGTCCTGAAATGAGGCTTGAGTTCTGGCTTTGACACTTATTAGCTGCTAACTTGTAATGGGAGAAATCACTAAATCTCCCGGAGACTCACTCATTCACTCATTTATTTCAGTTCTTTTTTTTTTTTTAAATAAATCTTTATTGTTCAGATTATTACATTTGTTCCTCTTTTTCCCCCCCCCATAACTCCCCTCCTCCCAGTTCCCGCCCCACCCTCCGCCCTCACTCCCCACCCACTGTCCTCATCCATAGGTGCACGATTTTTGTCCAGTCTCTTCCCGCATCTCCCACACCCCTTTCCCCCACAAGAATAGTCAGTCCATTCCCTTTCTATGTCCCTGATTCTATTATAATCACCAGTTCATTCTGTTCATCAGATTATTTATTCACTTGATTCTTAGATTCACTTGTTGATAGATGCATATTTGTTGTTCATAATTTGTATCTTTACTTTTTTCTTCCTCTTCCTCTTCTTAAAGGATACCTTTCAGCATTTCATATAATACTGGTTTGGTGGTGATGAACTCCTTTAGCTTTTCCTTATCTGTGAAGCTCTTTATCTGACCTTCAATTCTGGATGATAGCTTTGCTGGATAAAGTAATCTTGGTTGTAGGTTCTCGGTATTCATCACTTTGAATATTTCTTGCCACTCCCTTCTGGCCTGCAAAGTTTCTGTTGAGAAATCAGCTGACAGTCGTATGGGTATTCCCTTGTAGGTAACTGAGTTTCTTTCTCTTGCTGTTTTTAAGATTCTCTCTTTGTCTTTTGCTCTTGGCATTTTAATTATGATGTGTCTTGGTGTGGTCCTCTTTGGATTCCTTTTGTTTGGGGTTCTCCGCGCTTCCTGGACCTGTAAGTCCATTTCTTTCACCAGGTGGGGGAAGTTTTCTGTCATTATTTCTTCAAATAGGTTTTCAATATCTTGCTCTCTCTCATCTTCTGGCACCCCTATAATTCTGATGTTGGTACGCTTGAAGCTGTCCCAGAGGCTCCTTACACTATCCTCGCATTTTTGGATTCTTTTTTCATTTTGCTTTTCCAGTTGGGTGTTTTTTGCTTCCTCGCATTTCAAATCATTGACTTGATTCTTGCGCTCCTCTGGTCTGCTGTCGGGAGTCTGTATAATATTCGCTCTTTCAGTCCGTGTATGCTTAATTTCTAGTTGGTTCCCCAAGATAACATCGAGGGTCTCATTAGTTTTCTTGTAGATCTCATTAAGTTTATCGGCGGCTTCTAAACAGTTCTTGAGAGACCTTAAAAGTGTGGTTCTGAACTCTATATCTTCCATTGACAATTTTGTCCTGTTTCTTTGTCTCCGCATTTTGTTATGCTTCCTTGGTGCACCCCCTAGTGGTCTTTGTGCGTAGTCTTATAGTTAAACCTTGATTGTTGTAGCTAATACCAGGGAGGGTTTGACTTCCAGGCCAAGCGGCTATGAGGATCAGCTGTGTCTGCAGTGAGAGAACTTCTGTCCTCTAGGGAGGTGCTAATCTAGCCTTTGCCTGAGGCTATCCAGCAAATGCCTCTGTGCAGGGCTTGGGCGGGGCGGGTCGCACAGGATCAACAGGGTGGGCCAGAGAGAGCAGTTATGGCGGCTCTCAGTCCCGTCCCCAGGGGCTCTGCCTCTCTGAGTCCCAGCACCCGCTGCAAATCTCGGAGAGAAAACTGCACTCGCACTGACCAAAGCCAGACAGTCCCGCTTCTCTCGTTTGAGTCTGGGTCCCTAAAGACTCGCCCGTATCTGGAGCTCAGAGTCTGTGACTCCCTCCCGATTGAAAACGCCAACCACGCCCTCCACCGCCAGCCCGCTCCGCGCACTCCGCACCTCAGAACTTGACTTCAGCACTGCGCCTCCTCTGAGTGTCCGTATGCGTTTCTCTTTCCTCCTAGTTGTAGGACTTCCACTCAGCCAGTGTTCCTGTGGTTCTGGGTGATGTCCCTTCCATCTTTTAGTTTCACTTTTGAAGTAGTTGTTCAAGGCAGCAAACTCCGGCGTTAACCTATGCCGCCATCTTGGTTCTCCTATTTCAGTTCTTATTGTGCATTAAACACCATTCTAGGCTCCAGAAAGATGATAATAAAGTAAACACAGAAGAATCCATGCTGTCATCAACCTCATGTTTTAATGCAACAGAAATATACAGAAAGTAATAGCAAATTTCCTTCTGTGCAGGAGGA